ACAGGTACAACCATTTCAATCTGCCAGTCTTGCAATTTTAGGCGTTGAATAGTAAAATGGGATCCATGTTTGTCCATGTATAAACATGCTGCCACTTTTTTTAAAAAAGCAATTCTGCCCCTTTCCCAAAACTAAAAGAAAAACATTCTTAAGGTTCTAGAGAAGAAAGAAAAGAATTGTGCACTGTACTGAACAGTATAGGATTACAATGTTCAAGTTTATCAAGTTCCTAGAAACATTGTCAACAATTAAACGATAAGTTAGGGAACAGATTCTTCTAGAAATATTTAATAGGGACGATTCTGATACAATTTGACACAACTGAAGAAAGCAGATAATTGGAAAACTGGCTGGGGAATATGTGATATGATGAAGAAACTCACGTTCTAAATCAGCGGGATCTTTCTACCGGTATTTGCCTTAATAATAGTAGATGAATTTGGTTCAGCAGATCTTTCTTTCTTTCTTTCTTTCTTTCTTTCTTTCTTTCTTTCTTTCTTTCTTTCTTTCTTTCTTTCTTTCTTTCTTTCTTTCTTTCTTTCTTTCTCTCTCTCTCTCTCTCTCTCTCTCCCTCCCTCCCTCCCTCCCTCCCTTCCTATCCCACCTTTATTATTTTATAAGTAACTCAGGTTGGCAAGCATACACGATACTCCATCCTCTTCCTATTTTTCCCTTAACATCAACCCTGGGAGGTGGATTGGGCTGAGAGAGAGTGATTGGCCCAAAGCCACTCAGGAGAACCCAGTTCAATGCTCAGAAAAGATAGAAATTTTAGGTAGTGGCTGCTGCTTAGTGTGGGCAATAGAGGGACTTGTGGTCTAAGCCAGATTCAGATATTCCTAATAAGGCAGAGTTCCATGAATAAGATTTTAATGAATTTTCTGCTGTTGGGTAGTCTGGCAATGTCAAATTCTAGTGATCTTCAGCAACACATGATAGCATCCACTCTGAGGATCAGTTGATGGAGTGGCTGGCATTAGACTGTATATAGGTCTCATATTCCACCTGGGCCATCAATTAATGGCATGGTTTTGTATAAATTGTTTTCTTATAGCCTCAGTTGGAAGACACAGAGAGCTATATCTCAAGGAGGCTAGCAGGCAACATAATAGAAGGAAGAGGGAACAGGAATGATTTGTGGAGTAATGGGAAGCCAGATAGATGAATCTCATTACTGTGCTGAAAACAAAGATGGTGATTTTAGCTTGCAGACATACAAGTACCAAATATGTAGCCCATGGATAAATATTCCCATTTGTCTCCCATCCTTACCTTTTAATGCAACTGAAGTGTGTTCTGCATGGACTAACTTTGTGTTACCTTCAGCTAATTGCCTGAGAAAGAATAAAACTACACTGGGTCAAAAATCTTGGCAGATTGACATAGTTCACCAAATCCTGGTTTAAAATAGTTTGTTATATCAGGCACATAATGCCGAGTCATAAATAATAGTTTCAGAAGTAAAAAGGCTGGTTCAAATGTCACGCTAAGCCAAAGCGAAACATTTTTCTTTAGAAGCATGCAAGAATTGGGCAGCCTTTTGCGAATTAAACATTACACCAGGGGTAGTCAACCTTGGCTCTTTTATGACTCGTGGACTTCAACTCCCAGAATTCCTGAGCCAGCTAAGCTGGCTCAGGAATTCTGGGAATTGAAGTCCACGAGTCATAAAAGAGCCAAGGTTGACTACCCCTGATTTACACGAATGCTAGCAATTAGCAATAACTCTTCAGAAAATAAAGTTAATGGTGGTGTGTGACAATACCGTTTCTTTGGAATTGAATGGGCACAATCTGTGTTTGTTCTTTTACGGCAACAGCATGACAATGCCTTGTCTAAAGTTAAGGACAAAGCAGACTGTGCCTACTAGTGCCAAAGTCTGTTTGCTTGCTGTTTGGCTTTGTTGCAGGCAAACTGAGTTTTAGAACAACATCTGATAAACTTCAAGGTGAGGTCATAGCAGCCAGCAAAGCAAGCTCTCAGGTTACATTAGCTTGGCAAGCCAGCCACATTGCTACAAGGTGCAGCAACTCCTTCCCCCACCCCAAATCTACATGTACCACAAATATGTAGAAAGTCACCAAGTACAATAATGCCACAGCACCTATCTTATATTTTTTGCTTTTTTATTTCATGTTTATAGATTTTAATAGGATCGTTTCTTTATAGGAACCTTGTAACACTGGCCTAATAGGACAAGAAAGTTTTTTGACTTTATGGGGAATACACAGATGTCTCTGTTATCATGTGGGGACATCACCCATGCAACCTTTTGTCTGTGAACCCTGGTGACTTCTTTTCAAAACGTTTAGTTGCTCACATTTTCATAACTGGGATGCCCTGTAGGTTGCCTAAATCAGGGCTTTTCAACCTTTTCACCCATTGTACCACTTTTAGGATATGGCAACATCTGAGTACCACCAGTCGCCTAGCAAGGTGTCAAAAACTTGATGACCCCCTCCAAAAGGAAAAAACTGATAAAGTACAGGTAGTCCTCGACTTACAACAGTTCGCTTAGTGACTGTTCGAAGTTACAATGGCACTGAAAAAAGTGCCCCCCAAGCCACAGCAGAGCAAGACACCTGCCTGCCCGCCCAGCCGCACTCTTCCTCCTGTCCGAGGTTTTCATTGTTGTGAGCATTTCTGTTGAGGATTGGCAGCGGGGGTGGGGTGGGTGTTTGGTTTTTATTCCCCCCCCCCCCCGTCTGCTGGGTGGTTGCAGCAGGTTTTGGTCACTTCACCTGACCCTGGGACACTGTGACCATCATAAATATGAATCAGTTGCCAAGCATCTGAATGTAAATCACAAGACCCTGGAGATGCTGCAACATTCCAGCTGATTGGTGCTTCTTCAGGGCTCAGCAGAAGTGCCAGGATCAGTGCTGCTTTCCAGCTGATTGGTGCTTCTTCTGGGCTCAGCACAAGCACCAGGATCAGCGCCGAGCTCCAGCTGGAGCCTGGCGCTGATCCTGGCACTTCCACTGAGCCCTGACAGCCCCGAAGAAGCGCCAATCAGCTGGAAAGCGGCACTGATCCTGGCGCTTCCACTGAGCCCTGACAGCCCTGCAGCTCCAGCCATCTCTCGCTCAGGCTTGTGTGGTGCTGCCACCAGTTCAGCTCATTTTCCCCCCCCCCCGCTACCACTTTTCTAGGATGGTCGCCTACCACCTGCCAGGTGCCAATGTACCACAAGTGGTACCCGTACTACTGGTTGAAAAGCCCTGGCCTAAATCTGGCTTAGGTGCCACCTGGTGTCCAGACTGGTTGACTGTCCAAATACTGCTATGCAGGGTTGCTTGGATCAGCTTTTGTTGATTTCCCCAGAAGACAAAGCACCTGAGAAAATTCTGGAGCAGAAGTAAAAGTTGTTCCCTCAATCCTTGTCATTCTTGGCTGTTGGCAGATCATGGGAGACTGGCCAACCTGCTTGGCTGGAGACTGAGTATTTCAACTGCAGAAGAATATATACACTCGTGGAAGGCCGTATTACCTCCTCCACAAGAAGAATCTTTGTGAACTGTCTCCATTTTTTTCTGATTTGAAATTTCTGGGAATTTTGAATTGAAAAGCAGCATAGACATATTTGGAATAACATCGATAGCATTGCAAGCACTTTTGGAAGAAGTGGGTTATCTAGGGTTCCATAGACTGTGAGCCTTCTGAATCTCTTGGCATTAGTGACTCCAGTGCTCAAGCCAGGAAAATAATTGTTCAGAAGTCAATTGGCTTAAAAGGGCTGGAGGAAAAGGCCTAGAAACTGAAGCCCTAAAGTGTCTGTTTCTATATCTATCACACGATTCTTGTATTCTGCAGTAGACAGATCTGTTACCTGTTACGATTATTCTGCAATTAAGCAATGAAAGTAAGTAGACATATCAAATCTGCGAAGCTTTTACAGTTACTGAAAGTGAAATTGAATTCCTGGAGGGCCAATATTTATTGCTGTACTTAGTGTGAAATCTGAGACCCTTAGTCCAGAGGTAGGCAACCTTGACTCTTTTATGACTCATGGACTCATAGCTGGCTCAGGAATTCTGGGAGTTGAAGTCCATGAGTCATAAAAGAGCCAAGGTTGCCTACCCATGCCCTAGTCTTTTACACATCAGACAAAAATACTGTTGTGGAAGATTATACATAGATATGGGCTGAGTTGCCGGTACTAGGCTGATTACTTTAGTTCTTTTTCCACATCTAGGAAAAAATACTTTTTTGATGAGAGGAATTACAGATGGTCCTCGACTTATAACAGTTCACTTAGTTTCCTTTTAAAGTTACAACAGGACTGAAAAAAGTGACTTATGACTGTTTTTCACAATTATGACTGTTGCAGAATCCCCGTGGTCACGTGATCAAAATTTGGATGCTTAACAACTGGCATGTATTTATGATGGTTGTAGTATCCCAGGGTCACGTGATCACTTTTTGTGACCTTCTGACAAGCAAAGTCAATGGGGAAGCCATATTCATTTAACAACCGTGTTACTAACTTAACAACTGCAGTGATTCACTTAGCAACGGTGTCAAGAAAAGTCGTAAAATGGCGTAAAACTTACTTAACAATTATCTCACTTAGCAACAGAAACTTTGGGCTCAATTGTGGCTTTAAATTGATGACTACCTGTAACTTCAGCTGAACCCCGATAAAATAGAATCCTGATAATAGAAGTGGTGATGTCAGTGAATAAACTTCAAACTTGATGAAAAAAATAGATCAGCCAATCTGATACTTACCAGATGTGTTGGATCGATTCTTGTAGCTGTGGATGGGCATTATTCAAGTTGTCTCCAACACTTCTGGAGTGCACCAGTGCAGAGAAGGCTAAAAGAGCAATTCAGCTGTCTAGTTCAATACTGAAATGAACAAACATAGATTAATTCAATACCAACTTGGTATATGTCCACAAAGGGGAAAAGGGGTTGGTGGTGGATTGTTTACCCAGAACAAATGATTGAGCAGAGAATTCTGAGCAAACCTTTACCCAATTCTCCTTCGTTATCAGCAGCCACTTCCTCCAGTCTCCAGCACAGATGAAGATGTGCAATTACAGATAGCGCTTACCCTGAGCAAACAAGAGCATGAGAAGGTACCCCAAGCCCAGGTGGTGAAAGGGCACTTTACCTTTCCTCTTCTTGAACTCACATCTCTTCAAATGGGGCAGCTTTCTGTTACCTTCCCATTGTCTTCCTGGCACAGTGCTGTTCTGTCCCCCGGGGTCTAGGAATTCTACACACTGCTCACTTGCCAAAATCTCATTTATTTGCTGAAATTCTGAAATTGTTAAGGTTACAAAGGTTGTTGGCCTTTATAAATATGAATCAAATCAAGAATGAGAAATGTCAGAGCCCCAGAACCCAGGAATGGGTGTCATGGGTTCTTTCTCCTAATGACAAAAATATTAAATATTGGGATTGGTCAAATTTAAAATTTGATCATCAGAGCAAAGTGAAAAAGTACAAGCATGTTTCTTTTCCTAATCAAATCCACCCCTGAGCTTACTTGCCTGACAGTAAGTCACATTGCCAAGCTCAGTGGAAATTATTGCCCCAAAAGTGTGCATAAGATTGCTACAATTATAGAATTTGTGGCATTTTTAGGTGAGAGAATTCTAGACCTCTTCCTTCCTATCATCGCTCCCTGCTCTGTCCGTTTTCTTCTGCCGTCTGATACTTTTCCAATTAATAGCTTTAATTTTCATGGTTCTAAAGACTAACCTTATCAAGGAGTATCTTAAGCTGGATTCTATTTGAAAACTAAAAAAAGTGATTGCTATTACGAATGCACGTGGGTAATATCTGAATGATGACTGTTGCCTTTAGGAGATAATCATTCCACTTTCTGGTCCTTGGCTCAGGCATGTGTTCATTCTGATTGCAGGAAGTTAGGGCATGGAAAGGAGAAAATTCATTACTACAAAAGGCCCTGGAAGAAAGTAACCTGGGTGTTGAGGAAGTTGAAGAAGATGATAAGGCAAAGAAAACACAGGTATGAAAAACCAATTGCAGGCATGCTGCTATAATGCCAGCTTTGAAGTATGCAAATGTATACACCTCATGTGTTATCTCTACATGGAACTGCAAACTGTGTAGCTTGGAACTGAAGTTATTGATGGTGATTTTGGCTCAAATCCTCATTGGGCAAATGGGATGAGCAAATATTGACTTGGATGCTGCATCCTGTCATGTCACAAATTTTGCAGACTCTGAGTCCATAATTCTACAAACCTTTATGAAACTGGTTTTATTAATCCCTGCTGTTGTGATTTTATAGAATAACTGGACTCAACCCCAAAGAATTTTAGAAAGGCAAACAATAAAGCCTCAATGGAAATTTTTGGAAGTTAGGATGGTTATACATTTAGCATGAGGAAATACTCTTATGTTTCATGCTTTTTTTTCATTGGTATTTTGTGTTATTTTACTTCCTTTTTTTAAATCCACATCTACTGTATTGGCAGAATAAAATACCAAATACCAAATATATGGCAGGTGAACATTTGTTTTTACCTCCAATATTGTTAAGGTGAATTATCAGACAATTTTCCTCTCTACAGGTGGATCTATTCTAGATCCAGGCCTATTGTTCATAGTCAGCCTGGCAGTTTCCAGCCTCCGATAAGCATAAACTATTCCCATATTCCATAGCTTATTCAGCAAGTGATCCCCTGCAGAATGTTATTTCCAGAAACACCCATTGTTCAGGCATGTTAATGTCACCATCATTTCTATTCCACAGGAACTTGGGAGCAGTGTGAATCCAGCTCATTGTGACCAACCGCACAAGGCTGAGAATGAACCAATCAATTCTTTCTTCCAGCTATGTATTAGAGCAGGGGTAGTCAACCTTGGCTCTTTTATGACTCGTGGACTTCAACTCCCAGAATTCCTGAGCCAGCACAGCTGGCTCAGGAATTCTGGGAGTTGAAGTCCACGAGTCATAAAAGAGCCAAGGTTGACTACCCCTGTATTAGAGGAAGGCACAAAATGGCATTTGGTCAATGCTCATAACTTTAAAGCTCATGTTTTGTGCATTTATCTAATGATTCCCTACCATCCACCTGTGAACACAGATGACACCATGAGATCATTTGGGTGTAGAGCTAATTCTGGGGCAATCCATGCCCATCAGAATACGCACTTTAAGAGCCAAGGAATGTCAGCACCATGCCTAAGGAGAGCAAGGAGATGCGTTTGATTTCTTTGATACTTTGCAAAAATGGCTATATTCTCCCTGTATGTTGAATTCTTCATAATTGTTTCCGCTCTATAGGAACTATAGAACTACAAGCTCTAATACATGGTATTCCTTTGTATTTTTCAAGTCTTCTGTGTTGGAGCTGGCAGACATTTTTGGACCAGCACCAGTCACCTCTACCCATACTTCTGCTGACCCATGGGATATTCCAGGTGGGGGCACTGTTCGATCTGTTGACACAGACTTCTCTCCTCCAGCTCTATCCTTGTCCAGTTCTTGGGACCATAATAGTAAGAAGTTTTGAACCTGTTCTCTTCTTTCTCTTTTCTGTTCTCCATTCCATTCTTCTTATTGGGCAACAGGGGTCAATGTTAAACCATTGTCTATTATTGTGTGGTTCTACCTTAAGTAGTGGTATCTGTTAGGTAATAAAAATATTTCAATTCATTTTTGTAGCTTTATATACATTTTGTAATTTTATGTACATTTATATAAATAAATACAAATTAGAGCTTTAAAAATCTTTATTTAAAATGAGTCATTATGGAAGTACTTTTAAACACCTTAGTAAAAGATTCTTGAGTAGCAACTATGATCTTAAAAGAAACATAAACCTGTCTGCCTCTATTTTACAGCTTAAATGAATTTCCCCCTAAGGTTATTTCTGTTGGACTGATATATAGCATCCAGACATTTCTTTCCTCCTTTAGCATACATTCTTATACATGTATATGAAGATTTGATCAGTTAAAGCTCATAGAATGAGCCAGCTAAGGTTTCTTTCCTCAACTGGCATCTCTAAGGTTGATCTTACTCATTTATTCAATCCTGACTTCATCAAGTTAATAATAATAATAATAATAATAATAATAATAATAATAATAATAATAATAATAATAATAATAATAATAATAATAATAATAATAATAATAAAGTTGGAAGGGACCTTGGAGGTCATCGAGTCCAACCCCCTGCTCAGGCAGGAACCCTACACCATTTCAGACAAATGGCTGTCCAGTCTCTTCTTAAAAACCTGTGTTGGAGCATTCACCGTTTCTGGAGGCAGGTTGTTCCATTGGTTAATTGTTCTAACTGTCAGGAAGTTTCTCCTTAGTTCTAAGTTGCTTCTCTCCTTGATCAGTTTCCATCCGTTGCTTCTCGTCCTGCTTCTTAGTTGATTCATTCCCTATTTCTTGGGCAAATCAGATTCCACGTTGATAGGCTCTTTTCTATCTGCTTGTTCCTTTCAGATGCCAAATCTTCTGTAGAATCAACAGGAACATCCTGGGGTCCTGCTGCAGACCCTTGGGTGCCATTGCCTTCGGAAGATCCTCTGACTCACTCTTCTGCCGGTCAAGCTTCTTCCAGCCCCTGGAATCTTCCTCCTGTCTCTTCTGCCTCTGATCCATGGGGGATAAAATCATTGCCTTCAGGTGTCTCATCGTCAGACCCCTGGGGAGAACAGTCACCACCCACTCCACTCTCTGCCAATGCCACTTCTGCCGCTGATCCTTGGGGAGGTTCTGTTGATAATTCCTCTGCCCCTGGTAAGAGAGCCAATATGATGGGATGGTTGAGGTGTTGGACAAGGAATGGGGAGGCACAAGTTCTAGTCCACCCTCAGCCATGTGCCAGACCATCAAGGTAGATCAAGCTAAAAAACCAATGCCATATAGGTCAGGCATACTTACATTGTATTGGCAATAGTAAGCAAATTTTACCAGTCTGAATGTGCTTGTGGTAGCAGCTCTTCATCCTTTCCTTCTTCTCTATGCCCTCTTCAGTGGGCAATTTTGAGCAGTCATTCTCATCCTAGTTTACCTTATAGCAATGTTGTCGCAGGAAAAAAATAAGATGGAACACTACTTGTGCCACCTTGAGCTCCTGTACAAAAGATATAAATCAAATGATTAAAAAAAAATCACCTGCAAGTTTTGAGACTGCTCAATGTGATGGATTAATAGTATCCTTTCCTCTAACTTCATAACTGCTGGCCATAATTTCTCTCCTGCTTCATGTGAGCCGTGTAAAGCGTTTGACTGCTTTGCAAGAGGAACGTGCGCTTGTCCCAGTTGAGTTCCTAAGGGGCAAGTTGTATGACCTTCCTTACTGTGAATAAAATGAAAGACACCTAAATACCTTTTTAGCTGTCTTCAGAAACAGAGATGAACCAGTTGAGTGTCATATGGGATTAAACAAGCTTCTTTCTCTGCTTCCTTTTTACTGTACGGATTTCTAGGTCTTGAAGTAAATGTGAAACAAGAGATTCCATCCACAATCTCACTCTCACTTCTGCAGTTAAGACTCCCAAATTCAACAAACTGGTTACAGACTGGTAGCGGAGGAAGAGGAGAAATATATCTCTTTTTTCCCCCTAGGCCTTCTAGTGGAGTACTGGACAGTAAATCTGTCCCTGTCCTAAATTTCCTTTGCATAGTGTGTGAAGGATAAGCCTACTGTAAATAACAATGCTACTGCTTTCCCTGGGCTTCCATTCCTTCTCAATGGTACTGAGATTGAACAAAGCATAGAGAGCCAGTTTGGTCTAGTGGTTAAGGCACAAGGATAGAAATCAAGACACCATGAGTTCTAGTCCTGCCTTAAGCGTGAAAGCCAGTTGGGTGACTTTTGGTCCGTCTTTCAGCCCACAATATCAGGCTTGGGCAACAAACAATTGTTTAATTCTTATTACAACCAAGGGATCAACACTGGGTTAATCTGAAAAAGTGGACTAGAAAATATTAGGGGGGGGGAGAGAGAGAGAGAGAGAGAGAGAGAGAGAGAGGGACTGTTAACTGAATAGATTTTTTTTCCTGTCTTTACCTCTCTATAGACAATAGTACATTTGACTTATTTGCAAAATTACCTGAATCTGTGGACCTACCAGAACATGAAAGTTCTCAGGCTCCGTCATCTGTGAAAGCCAATAGCTCTGTAGGTAAGCAAAGCTCTAATGTAGCCATCCCCAAACTATGTCTTTCCTTGGAAAACAATGCCTATTAATCCCAGGCAACATGGCCATTGGACCAACCTGACAGGAGCTGCAAGGTGCAACATCTGGAAAAGAGAAGGCTGATCATATGTATTCATGGAGAAAAAAATGTGATGGGCAAAAATAACCGTGGATGCTGATTCTTCCTGCACATATTGATCTCCAAATTTTGACAGACCTTACTGACAATAAAAATCTAAAGCCACCTATTACATGGACAGTTGTCCTAGCAGAAATAGGGAAGTGTTTTATGTACACGTTCTTCTTTGATGTTGTTTTTTTACCTTCCCAGTTTGGTTTGCACCCCTGGGGTCTTTCCTTTAAACAGGTCCAATCCTTCTTACAATCTTTAAGGTCAGAGAAGGGGGATGGTGTCACAACCAGAAGTAGTTCCATTCTAGTTTTTATTTCACAAGATATCCCCATACTCAGAGAAGTACTTTCCATGCAGGAATCAGTCTTCAGTTACACTTCTCTCTCTAGAACAGGCATGTCAAACTGCTGGCCTGCGGGCCGGATGCGTCACGTTGAAACCGTGCCCACCCCATTGCCGGCAATGGGGAAAAAGTCGCAATACATCTCGTGATGTCACGTAACATCGCGAGTTTGACATGCCTGCACTAGAACTATTTTAGCTCTTATTTTCCTTTATGTGCACCTCTGATTCCCTTCATACTGCAAGAAGCTTTTTAAAAGCTCTCAATGTTGGATCTGCATGAATGGAATCTCATTGCTGCTTGGAGAAGGGGGCTTCTGGCTGCCCATTTGGGAAGGGTTTCTTATCAGCTTGCAGTCATTTTTAATACCCTATGAAACAAGTATCTCTCCAAAAAGAGAAGTGTAAAGAAGATGGCAATATATTGCCAAGCTGCTATTCCTTGTACAAAGGGAAATGAGATGACTTCAGAACAGTTCTGCCCCATATTTGTAGTTAACAGTCAGGCAAATTCCTCTTCCTATCAAGCAACCGTGTTTTTTAGGCTGTCAGTAATAACAGATTATTTAATTAATTATTGTAGAAAATTGATGGGCAGGCTTCAGTATTTATAAAAATGTGGATAGTAGATCAGTCTTTATATGTTGTTGTGCTATATTAGCCATTTTGGCAAATGCTTTAGAACAGAATGACCTAAGGACCTCCCCAAATGAAAAGAAGTGGCCAGAGTCCAATAATAAATACAATCCATATGAAAAAAAATGTAGATTACCATCTATGGAGTGGCATTAAAAGATACCGTAGTTTGAGCCAGATGGCATTCGGCTCGGCTCCTTCTGTTTCTTTTCCTAAATTACATTCTCAAATTATTTTGATCAAGTTTGGTGCATCTGTTTCATAGTGTAAGAGAACTGCTTCTATTTTTTTAAGATTCTTACCACACATGTTGCCTGAACTTAATGTAAATTCTGCAAAAGAGAAATGGAAGGGCTGTTTAAATAAAAGTACTGACTGGAACTATTTCAATATGAGAACAGAACCGACTATTTTGCAGTTTCCATTTAATATATAACTCAAACAGATATAGAATACACATTAATTATCATGTCTCCAAGTGTGCATGGGTTGTGTTTTTATTCTTTTTGCTGATTATACTCATTTTATATTTAAAAATTATATATTTTAAGAAAGGTAGCAAAAGGGACTTTGTCCAGGTGCTTATATTTGTGTGCTCAAGCCAAATAGTTAACTTTGATTTTGGACAGAGAGTGGTAATACAGGATAACATTTTGCGGAATTAGTTAAGAATAGAATTGATTTATGCCAAGTATATAAATACTCTAGTAGCAATATTTCTATTAAATCCTGAATTATTGGATGGATTTCTGATGATTCCAAAACCAGCTTTATTTGAACCCACTGGACACAGGAGAGTGGTAATTGTAAGTATTAACTGATGAAGCTTAAAAATCATAAAACTGTACTATTTCAAGTTTATTATTCTCAGCCCTCTTCACTTTTATGGTTACACAATATTGCTTGCTGAAGCCTAGATTTCTACCTCAAATGGATAGCGGTGATGAATTGTTTTGCCAACACTGAGAACAATGTGATAGAAGTCAAATGGACAATTTCTGTAACAAAATAATTCTGATAATGCCATTTTGACAACTGCGATTTTGCCAAGCCAGAACAACATTAGTTTTTTTTGTTAAAGGAGTGCAAGATCTGCTTAGTGTTTATCAACAGTAGCTTAGGATTTATTTTCCTTAGCTGGCCTACATTTTTGTAAGAACAATTTTCAAGAATTTCTCCCATAGGTCAGAAGTCCTCAAGCATACTTGCACAATTACTGTTAGTGTTGATTATTATAATTGCTGGATTTTCCATATTAACTTCTGGTTTGCCACTTGGTTAACTGGGAATATCCCGGCATGGTGATTGAAGAAAATTCTATAGCATCAGTAAATATATTAAGCAAATATTTTGAAACCATCTTATTTCAGAAATGGTTAAATATATAAAAAAATAATGAAGAACCAATTGGAATTGACTTTTGTGCTGTCTTTGATCATTGTCAATTCTGAGTTAAAGTAAAGATCATGTGAATACAGTAAAATCTCTTCTCTCTCTTTTTCTCACTGGTAGATGTGGATCTATTTGGTGACCTTATTCCAAGCACCACGGAGAATGGAATTCAAAATAAAGATATTTTTGACATTGCAAATTTAGGAGATTCTTTACCTGATTCAAAGGAGAAGAACAAAACACCAGAGACCTTTCTTGGCCCCAGTGCCTCTTCCTTGGTTAACTTGGACTCCTTGATTACAGCCCCCCAGAACGTGAAGTCACGAAATCCATTTCTGGCAGGTAGGTTGCATAGGCAGGAACAACAACATGGGGTTGTGTACAGAAGTCTAAAGGAACCCTATAGATTCTTGTTTGCAGTAATTTTGTGGGACTCAATCCTGTATCTATCCCCTGCCATACCTTTCATCTTTGTTCCCCTTTCCACTGAGCTCATTTCTTCATAGGTTTCAGTACTTGCTCCAAAATTCAGAATACCTATATCTGCTTTTGGTTGAGCCTGTTTTTTAATTCTTGAAACCAAATATCCTTGGAACCTGTGGGAAAATATTGCTCTCCAGAAATACTGATGAGATGCCTTTTCACATATTTCTTATTTGACAATAAAGAAAATGGTGGGCTTTCTTTGGAACCTGTCAGTTTCTTTTGCCGAATCCCTTGATGGTGGGGACAGGGGTTAACTTCCTCAATTTCTCACAGTAATTGACTCATGTTTTTCTCTCTTTTTTTCTCCTAGGACTCAGTGCCCCTTCACCTACCAATCCGTTTAATGTTGATCAGCCCAAACCAACTCTCAATCAGATGCGGACCAACTCCCCAGTGCCTAGTGTTCCCGTGGGGATGCCAATGAACTCTATGACCTACAGTGCTTCTCTCCCTCTTCCACTCAGTAGCATCCCCTCAACAATGACTCTCCCAGCCTCTGTGAGTGCCTTCCCTCAGGCTGGAGCAGGGCCTTTCCCAGAGCTACCTAGCAACTTGCCTCAACCTCTCCTGCCACTCTCTGGCTCGATCCCACCACCATTAGCTTCGCAAAGCGGTATGAATCCTTTTCTCTGAGAAGACTTGATCGGTGACGTGTGATGTATCCCTTACTTCTTTCCCAACTGTTATGGAGGATCTCCTGTGCAAAGCACATTTGTTTTGAAGCAAGCATCTCCCTGGAAGTTCTGATCAAAGAGACTCAGCATGACTCTCCTTGCTCGATGAGATACTGTACAAAAAAAACTAAAAACCCTCACTGTCACGCTGAACATTGTCTATAGTCTGCTGATGGTGGCAGTTGGGACCTCAGCTGACATTGTTTGGATGGATTAAAAAGGAGGTTGGAGGGCAGTTCTGCAGAAGGGCAGTTCTTTTTCTAAGGCTCTCTGCTCTCCTGCTTTTACGTTGGCACAAATAGTGACTAAATTGAACAAAACGAAACAAAAAACTCAAGATTACTTCTTCAATGTGAAGGAAAGAAGTTATTTTGTAGTCTGCATGGAAATACATAAATAATTGCCGAGGCTTATAGCTCTACTTCCTGCATGGCAGGGGCACAGTCTCATTCCTGGGAATCTTGACAGCTCAGCAAAACTTTGCAATGCCATATGCAAGGGGAGAAGATGATTATTATTATTTTTTTGCTACAGTCACTTTCACTGGGTTGCCTAAAGGAAAACTCTTCTGTTTCCTGCTATTTTCACTCAGTCACATTTTCATCAATGATCTTCTTGCACATCTTTTAGTTTGCTTGTGAGCTTTGGATACTCTTTGAGATTTAGTGAGGGACCAGTAGGAGCTACATAGAAGGAAATAATGTTTTTCTTTAAAAAAAATAATGGGACAGTCAAACTCAATGCCTGCACTGTGTGGATACAGTGGCAAGAATGCTGATCCATGAAAGGGAGGGAGAATAGAGTTATAAACTACAACTCTCTAAAAAATACCTGACCAAACTATGGCTTCTAAATCAAATGTCTCCCCCCACAAAAAAAAGGCCCCAATCCCAGGCACTCCAAATACATTAAGAACTGATAGTTCTTCCTGCTCCTTTTTGCGACTCTACCACTGTATATTAAATCTGATATCACTGCTGTTCTGCTTCTGATAGCTTTGATCCAAAGACTTTTCTTTGTGAACTTCTCCGTACAGTACTTATAGAAGAGGAACATGATGGATGTTCTGAGTTTCGCTTTGGATGGTCCCTTAGCTACATATCTGATTGCAGACTCTGTTTTCTTAGTGCCTGCCTCTCAGTCTCAAATCCAGTCTGCAAAACGTGGTACTCAGCAACAGCAAACCCAGTCCAGAACACTTGAATGAACTTTGTGAAGTGCACGAGAAAGCTTGGACTATCTTGCATGGTGGGCAAGGGCTTTGTTAGCGTGTTTGGGAACTCTATCCATGAGAACCTTAATATTGGGCTTGATGGCCTGGATGCCTTTCATTCAAGCTTAGAGTTGCTTTGAAAACATTGATATTTGTAACTTTTCAATGAACCTTTCCTCCCCTCCCCCCAAGGTCCTCCTTAGGATATTAATAAATGTGGTATAAACCAGAATGCTAGAACAGGGGTGGTACAGCATAAGCATCCCAGTTACCAGTTGTGTCTTAATTGACAGTTTCACTCAGCATGCCAATACAAGTTACATCTGCAGAGTATGATGACTGTGGAGTGCTGATTCAGCTGCAATGGGAGAGAAATCAGGGCCACCCGTGGGAAGCAATGCAGGACAATCATTGGGGCTTTTTAGCCTGTATGTAAACACAATGCAACCATACCAATACAGGTTTTCAACCTATATACCGCAGAATAATGGGGGTGATGAGAGAGTAAGAGGCCAATAAAAAGCCCAAATGTGCTTGCTAATTTAGAGTGTTTTATGTGCTCCTTTTAAGTGTTTAGCTATAAGCAAGGGGAGGGCCTGAATGAGATTGAAAGAGTAAGCACAAATGTACATAAAACATTAATCCCCTCCCATTTTACGTCTTTTATTTCTATATATTGCTCCAATTGGAATTGACTTTTGTGCTGTCTTTGATCATTGTCAATTCTGAGTTAAAGTAAAGATTTTTGTTTCCATGCTCAAGGAATAGAGGTTTTTCATCCTGTTTGGCCAATCCTAAATAATAATTGCTAGGACAGAAATTTTTGGGGTAGAGGGAGATGAAAAACATTCAATGTAAACATCCACTGATACAATAGCATTTTAAGAGAGCCATGGTGATGTCAAAATGACATGTGCACGTCAGACAAAAGAGGCAATTACATAGTTGTGTCAGAATGTCTGATACAAGAAAGTAGTTGTGTTGTAATGTCATGACATGTGCATTGTCATTTGCCTCCCTCCCTTTATCATGTCCTGTGGATGACTATATCCAAGCAGTTGTCAGAAGAGTTGAATGAATTGCTTGTTGTATAGAGCAGAGGTCCCCAACCTTTTGGGCACCAGGGACCGGTTCCGTGGAGAAAAGTTTTTCCACGGATCGGAGAGCGTGGTTTTGAGTGCTGCCTGCATTCCGCGGATAGGGCTTTGCTTGTTTGTGAGGACCAGTTGCTGGCATGCTGCGGCCTGCTACCGGTCCACAGACTGGGGGTTGGGGACCCCTGGTATAGAGAATACAGGTAGTCCTTGACTTACGGCCCAAACTGAGCCCAACATTTATGTTGCTAAGTAAGCAACATAAGTTGCTAAATTGTTAAGTTAATAACCCAGTTGTTAAGTGAATCTGGCTTCCCCATTGACTTTGCTTGTCAGAAGGTCGCAAAAACTGTTCACATGATCTGGGGACACTGCAACTGTCATAAATATGAACCAGTTGCCAAGCTTCCAAATTTTGTGGCCATGAGGATGCTGCCATGGTCATAAGTGTGAAAAATGGTGATAAGTCACGTTTTTTAGTGAAGTTGTAACTTTGAACTGTCACTAAATGAACTGTTGTAAGTTGAGGACTATCTGTAGTGTGTTTGATTCTGTTGTGCTACATATTCAAGTAAGCATTGAAATAATTCCATGAGAATTAGCCTGGCAAGAGTAGAGATGGCCTTTGTTTACCTGGAGGGAGATTATTGCTGAAATATTTTTAGTCATCACCTTTCAAAAAACTATCAGTCATTACTGACTTTTTAATGTAGACCTGCAGAATTCCAGACTAAAACATAGTTCTGGTTTATCCTGTTAAAACAATAGCAATTAACATTTTTATTATAAAGAGAAACTTCTCCCTATGTTAACTATAGTTTCTAGCAGCCTCAACCTTGAATGGTAAATTACAAAGAATATTTGGAGTATCAGATAGGCCACACGTTCTCTTCTCTATGTTACAAACTAACATTACTGGGCTATTTAAGGATAGCTAAAGTTGCTGAATGTCTTGCCAAATTGCCAGCCATAACATATGCAAAATTAATCAATCAGCAAGAATATAATTTATGAACGTATGTATATGTTTAAGCTGTTAAAAATCACATCATAGCTAATCCCACCTCAGATGGGATACCTCAGATCAGGCATGTCAAACTGCCGGCCCGCGGGCCGGATGCATCATGCCGAAACCGTGCCCACCCCATTGCCGGCAATGGGGGAAAAGTCCCGATACGTTGTGTGACGTCACATGACGTCGTGAGTTTGACATGCCTGCCTCAGATGGTGTTGTAAATAACTGCTTTTACCAAGAAAAAAAAATCACCTATCCTGCAAATCTAATAACATGTATGTTATTAAGCTTGCCAGTACTATAAATGTAATTTGTTTTTCCAGTTCCCCAATTGAGAACAAATTTATTGCTTGATAATGAATTTTGATAGAACAGACATTTTTGTTGATAATCATGACTGTGATATCCAGATAGCTGTTTGTGAGATAATGTGTTTCTTCTGCTCATATGCCCTTTAACTGAATCTATTTTCAAAGTAACCTTTTAATTCAGATATAGTTTCTGGTCCACTTCAGATGTTGATCTTCCCACTTCCTTTTTAAATCATTCATATCTGTGTAAGAGTACACATGACCAATACTGACAGTGGCCTATTTGCCTATTTATTTTTGGCACTCTCACATTATGATATTAGAAAGATATTTTCCACAACAAAAGCTTCCTTGCAAAAGCATATATCCACTTTGTAAACTAGGGTCTGGATTCCACTTAGATTTATATTTGATGATATGAATTTAATAAACCCAAATGAACAAATAAAGATGTAATTTATATTTTACAGTGACAAATATAGTCACTGCATAAAACATGAGCAAGGCTGTGTGTGAAAGGAGTATATTCGGTTCAGTGAACTAGTTCATTCTTTATAATGCTTTGTGACAATATTTCTCAGATTGGTTCTTTGTTAAAGTTTTTATCACAAATGTTATTCAATGAGTGCTATTTTTCAGTGAAATTTCAATTTCAGTCAATAGTGGTTTGCAAAGAGCCAAATAAAATCTCTCTCCCTCTCTGCTGGATTGGAAGTCCTTAATTATATTATAATAATTAGGTTGTATTTTGCCCAGTTGTCAAACATATCCTAAATTCTTTATTCCAAGTGTCAGGAAACCTAAATCAAATCCTTAACAAGCTGTCTTTACTGTTGTCAGATTTCACACTATGACAATAAACATCTCCCCAGAAAAGCAACCCCATATTCATCAACTAGCAGACAGGAGAAGCTTCAGACCTGACATAACACAAAAGTCACTTTAATGCAGAGATAAGTAATGCGTAAAAAAAAGATTTGTCTGCCGCAGAATTCAGCAATCACACTCTGTGTAATTGTCAGCCCAAGGTTTAAACCACAGACCTTTTCTTGATTTTTTCCCCCAAGTCCATGGATTTTGGGCCATTCTAGACTAACACTTTGGAGATACCTGTTTCATATTTATGTAACCCATCAGGTCTGAAAACAATAGGTTTTCAATTGGCAGGACATGGAAACAGCTTGCCTTTGACTTTTATAATAATCTGGGGGTTTTTTCCCCAACCTCCTAGTCAAGCATACAGTCCTATTATTTCCTAGAAGTCTCCCATCCAAGTACTAAATAGATCTGATGCTACTTAATTCCAGAGCCCAAAGTTACTTAGGTGCTGCAGTCTAGTTGGACAGCTTGATTTCCAAGCGTGTTGCTTTTTCTATAATGACAACAGATAAAACCTAATTTATATGAATTCTGTGTCCATTCTCTGAAACTTCACAAAAACTATATACTAGTACTTGGTTCTATTGGCATTCCTGCTTTCATAAAAGGAGATAATCTGTCTAGTTACTAATGGTATTCACTGCCAAAAGATGAGATTTCATCACCAACTCAAATGGCCTTTAAAGGTAAAGATTCTGCTGCTCTCATGCCTTGCTTGTGGGCTTTCCAGAGACA